TGGAACTGACTAACACAGTATGGTACAATACAGTACTAAATAGTCTCCAGTATGATTTGGCATGGAACAGAATAGGATGGCATAATAAATTGTGATATGATACTATATGGAATGGTATTGAATAGCCTGTTACTGTATGGTCATGGCAAAGTTGTATTATATACAGGGGCAGGAAATGGAAGCTATGAGAAACTTGTGGAAGTATCAAAAGATAGCTCGCTGGAGACTAAATTACCTGACTCTTCTTAGATCAGGACTCATGGTCAGAATGGGTAAAACTTCTTAAAAAGGTGCCACACAGAATTCATTTTCACACAAACAAAAGATGGTCCCGACAAACTTAATATTTGAGAGGTTGTTGCAATAAAAACCCATGTGGTGGGCTGGGAGACTGTTTGGTTTAGTCCACCAAACACTCAGCCTTCGCAGAGGCAATGAAGTTATGAGCTTCTTCAATTTTCTGATTGTTTTTCTCTTTCAACCATAGGGTTTCTAAACAGGTAGGAGTGGGAGGGAGAATTCCCCGCTGAAATCCATTACTCCTTTTTTAGCAACACTTTCTGATAGAGACACTGCTCCTATAAGACTCCATCAGGCAACCTAGATGAAATGAGAAAGAGTTGGGGTTTGGATTTTTCTTCTTCTTCCTTAGGTTGAATAAAATCTCAGATAAGATCAATAGTTTCTTTGGTTTTATGTTTCTCTTCCTTAAGGGCGATTGGCTTATTGCATTTCCATGGATTACAGAGACAGGGCGATTCAACAGAGATAAACCATCTTTAATATTCCCAGCCTTTTGAAGTCAAATGACTTTTAAATGAGGTTGGGGTCACTCTTGATTCTTATTAGAATATCACACGTGCCGAACACCTTTCTTAATTTTAACACAATTAACCATTTCTAAAATGGGGGTTGTAAGTTTTAATGCAAGCCAGGCAACATTCCCTGAAAACTTTCAGGCTGGACTCACTACCAGGAAGTACTGGGTTTTATTTTAATTCAGTCCCTCCTCCACTTTGATGTCATAGGACACACTTACCATTGACATGCAGCTTAGGGCAGCTTTTTTTAATGGCATCTAGAGGGCTTTTTTGTTCTTGCCCAATCCTTTAACAACTCCCTAGTAGCACTCTGTGTAACTACACAGACTAAGTTAGTGGTCAGAGTGGGCAAAAGGACTAGTTGCATGAACAAGGAGAGCAGAATTTGCTGCCTTATTGTTTGCAACGGGGAAGGAAGCATGGGTTATTGGTTAGATGGGGAGACTGGCAGCCAGGACTAACTGATATGGCCACAGGCAAGTGTCTTTAGTCATCTGAGCCTCAGTTTCCCTCTTGGTACAATGGGGTGCTGGAAGACTTAGTTGCTGTTTGTAAGGTGCATTAAGAGACTATATAATTAAAAGCATAAAAAAAATTGAAGGGCCTGTTTGTCCAGGTGAGTTTATGGATATAATTGTAGGGGGTTGCTGTCATATGGTTTAAAAAACAGATTCTAATTATAATCAAATGTGGGTGCAAAACTGCAGATACTGTTAATTGGGAGCAGAGGTCACAGGATGAAGATATCTAACTGACAAATTACACCCGCAAATCAGGTATCTCTCTAAATTGTGTCATTTTCACACAAGGGAGCTGGAGGGTCCAAAATTGCAGCCCCATAACTAGTATCTAAATTGCGGCTTCTTGAAAAATGTGGCCCTATAAAAATGATTTATTCAGTCTACACCCAGGAGCTTTGGGACTGTTAGATTCTAATGAGAGTCTTTGGTGGGTGGGACTTGGGTACTACATGGGACTATGCAATGAAATCTTTGGTTTACCATGTTGAGAATATTCTCCTAGGAACCCAAATCCAAAAGAACAAAAACAAGTAGTACCCTAATTACAGATTCCTAAATAGAAGGGGAAATCTCCAATTGATATCAATTATTTGAAGGTAATAGCTTATGATCATTTATGCAGCTCCAAAATAAATCTCAGTGTAAGAAATGATACATCATTTCAATTCTAACAAATCAGGCACTTAGTGTCCTGGAGGAGAAATGATTGGAACTACTTTAAAGCTGCCTTAACCTGAGAAACTGCAAAAATATTTATATTCGCGTGATGGAAGGAAGAAATGCCCCTGTGGGCATATTTAAGTGTCCTCTGTCTTTGGGATAAATGGTAATGATAAACAAAAAATGGAAAGATGACCTTAGAATAATAACCTCATGATCCAACTGGGACTGAGCTTTCCAACACACAGAAATCATTTGCAATATGTTCAGAACGGAAATTTCTATCCTGCTTTATAGCTTATAGACTTCCTTATGGGTCACAAAAACGTGGATTTGATTCCCTCTCTTGCAACAGGCGCCCACATGTAAAATTACTCTGATTCCCATGCTGGCTGCCTACCGTTCTGCTCAGTGATTCGGGTGAGGACAAGAGAAAAAAAAACAGAGGGAAAAATAGAGATGCATTTCATATACTTCAAAGGATGGTTAAAGACAGTCCAGGTCCTGCAACACTGGGTATTTCTGTGTATCCCTTAAGACCTCCAAAATAGAGAAGAGACATTGAGAAAACAACAGAAATGCACTGAAGCTAATCACTGAATACAACATTTATACAGGGCTTTTCACATTACTGTCCTACCACCTCAAGTTGTGATCATATCAGACCCCACAAACTAAGCAGTGTTGGGTCAAGGACCACATACAGCTGGTATGCATAGTGATTCAGTGGATAATGATCCTGTCTGATACCCCAGTATGGTGCTAGGGCACTCTGCATTGCTAGAGGTATCTGGGTGAAATCCTGGCCCCACTGAAATCAACAGGAGTTTTGGCATCCTGGTATCTAACTATCCACTGTCTTTTTGGATAAAATGTAGGATGAAAATTCTGCTCTCTGGTGCTTATTAAAAATCCATTAGCACTTTTCCTAGGAGAAGGAGGTGGTAGTTGTGCTGCTCTGGCCAATCTGGGTAATTATATTATCTTTCCTTAAATTCTCTCTGCAATTATTTCTTCACTTCCTGCCCTGGACTTCTATATTCTTACGTACTGTTAAAGCAGCTGCTGAGTTCCTCCTAGCTACACTTCACTGGAGGGCAAAGTTGTTAGTGTATAAGGTTTGCAAAATCCTTGAGATCCTTTGCTCAGAGAGTAATTTGCAATGTATTACTACAAATAATTAATTAGTAATTATCCTGAAGGACCTTTAGGACCCCTAATTGCTTTATTAACACTTCTGCATATAGGGACACTGACCCCCTCCGACAGAAATGGGTTGAAACATGGCAGCCATTCTGCCCTAGCAACACTCCCTATTTGTTTTGGGAGAGGAAGAATCCACCAGTTGACACTGAACGGAGAGCTCAGACCAGCAGAGTATAATTACTGGGGTTAATAACCTTACTCTTGTTAAAAATGCCACAAGATTTTTAACAGACACAAGTGGTCAGAGCGTGTGTGTCTCATTCAAAACACATAGCCAACACTCAAACATGAGTACCCCCTTCATGCTGTTTGGGATGACAATCAGTATTGACTTAGAAAGAAAAGTGTCCCTATTGAATCAGTAACACTACTCCCTCTGGTATAGCACTCCTTTAAGCCCCACGTCACGATATTAGAGCAATACAGATTCAGAGAGACTAGCACCCCTGACTGACCCAAACCCACCACTTCCTCCCAGACCTGCAGAAAGCTACAGTTTTCTTAGAGGTAGCCCAGAAGAAATATCTTTATAAGGCCAAGCCCTGGGTATTCCCATGGGCCTGACATGATCAGGATGAGTTCATTACAGTGCGTCTAGTGCTAAATAATAATGGCTCCGTGTGTGTCTGGTGTTCTCATTTGCATAACATTACCCAGAATGCTCTTTCATCTTACAGCTATTTGATAGTGGATGCTGATGTCTGTACTCTAGGAACAAATTCTAAGGTTGTATGTTTTGTTTGGATGCAGAGAGTTTCTTCAGCAAGTACAAAGAGTCATTACAGACAGCAGCAGGGGAAACAGTTGGTGTTCCCTGAGCTAGGGAGGCTCAGAGTAAACTAAAACAATCAGCCCATCAGCTTCCCTTAAAAAGGACAGGGCTTTACAGAGCCCACTGTCACAGGGTCTTTTACTTAGGCTACACCTGCAGGGTGTAAGCAACAGAGCAAGCAGTGGAGTACACATTCCCCTCCATAGCTGTGGGTGTCATTCGAAATATAGTTGAGAATGTCTCATGATTTATATGATGGCTTTATTTCCCACTGGTTTGGTGGGAATCCCTTGCCAACAATAAGATTACAATACATAGCACAGATGTCAAATCGTTCTAATCACATCATGCTAACCACTGGTGCCACAGCGCCGGATTCAGAACTCCATTACACCAGTCTCATGCCACCGGTGGAGTTATGCAGGCTTACAACTGCTGTAAACGGAGCTTCAGATCAGGTTCAAAGTTTAATAAGGAGAGGCAGCATCCATCTCTCCGGAATTCCTGATTGCCCCAATATAGCTTCTGTAGGACAGAGTAAATTCGGTTTAGTTAAATTACAAGGAGACCCCTCTTTGTTCAGAACACCAAAGAAACATTTATTGTGTGAGAGGAGAACCAGGCCCACTTACAGCAGTTTTACACCACTATAACTCCATAGCCTTCATGGAATAAGTCCTGATTTACACTAGGGTAAGTGAGAAGAATCAGGCCTTGTTTCCTTTACTGTTGAATGAGGCTACAAAATAGGAGATACAATAGCATATCACTGTAGGCAGCAGACTGAGGTCTGATGGTAATATTATAGTACAAACTTGGAGGCAATTCTACTCTCAGGGCAAGAAATTATAGCGAAATGTTTCAGAGTTCATTCCACTGAAGGGCTCAGGAAATCAAAGGCTCCTGAGCAAGAAAACAGCACCCCACCATTACACAACTGCTCATCCCTGCACTGCAAATCTAAGTGAGCTCCATAAGAGAAGAGAGGATAGGAATGGGCTCCCAGACATAGGTACTCACCTTGTAGAGCCCATGGCTGCAGCCACAGTAGGTGTTCTCCATTGTGTAGCTCCTCAACACACCAATCTCCCGCCACACTACTACCCGTGCTGTTGATTCACGTGACTTCTCCACCAGGAAGCTACAGCTGCTCATGACAAATGCAGGTGCCACTTTATCCAGGATTTTTGGGAGGGTCTGCAAAAAAAGAATCAAACAAGAATAAGAACATGAATTAGATATAGAGTTACGTAGTTATTATTTACATAGCACCAATAGATCTGAGCAAAATTCAAGAATTTCCATCCCCTAGGAAATTCCAAAATTTCACTGTTTGTTTTTGTCTCAAATGGGGAATAAGAGTTGAAATACTGAATTTTCAGATTTTCGATTGAAATGAAACATTTTGACATTCGTGAATCAAAAGGCTGAGTTTTTATTTGTTGAACTGACCTGAAACACTTCATCTGGTAGCCTGATGTGCCAGGCTCCCGCTCTGAACCAGATTCTCTGGCTGGCTGTATCTCTCATGATACACCTGTAGTCATAACTCCCATGATGCACCACGCAGCTTGGTTAGAGGAGTGTGTGTTGCAGCATGAGAAATATAATCCTTCAGGGAACCCAGTCCATACGAGAAAATGGGGGCCTGAACTACAGCTCCCATGAGGCAATGTGCCATAAAAACACCCACTTGGAGTGGGTTCGTTGTCGTTAATGGCAGCTGTACACATATCCAAAGGCCCAATTCTAGCCAAGTGCATTTCCTCACCCACTCTCCCCGCCCAAAATAAAAAGAGTGTTGGACCACCAAATTAGAAATTATGGGCCAAATTCTATGCTAATGTAAATGAGCACCATTTACACCAGGTGTATATTTGGCCCATACAGTATTAAAATAAAGGGCACATTTTCTTTGCCTGTATAACTGTCACCACCTTAAACTGTTGAATTGACCAGATTCCTACAAAGGGGACCCTCTCCATTGATGCCACCATTTACTTTTCATTCTGTTCAGTTTGGGTGGTGAAATCTTAACAGTCCATTTCACTTCGTTTAGAAGTCAGTTTTACTGTCTGATTCTGAACTATTATAGCTCAGTCTTATTAGGCTTGGGTTCACAACACTGAGTAGGGGAATATTTGGCTTAACTGGCAGGGGAAAAAAGACTTCTTAGGTTTTCTAAAACATGTTTAGAGAAACCACAAACTTTTGGCCTAACTGTTTAGATGATCTCCTCATTAACATTAATTCTGTACATACAACTACCACCAACCATCACCACCTACCCAGACTCAGGCTCACAGACCCAGGCTCTGATACTCGCTGCCATGGGATCCTGCTTGCTGTATAGACACACCCATCAGTGAAGCCTTAAGTGAATTAGGCATCCAAATCCCACTGTCTTTTAATGGGATTTGGGCACCTAACTCACTTACTCTGCTTTGAAAAGCCAAACCTCAATGCCTTATCCTGCAGCCACATGCCAATCTCTCTGATTTAGCAGAATAACTTCCTGTATGGTACCATCTAAGGGAGTTATGAAGACCTATCATCTGGGGAACAGACATGCAAGCTGTGGGCTGGAGAATGCCTCTGCAGCACGTTCTTGGATGGCAGTGGAGGCTAGCTCTGGATTCATTAATTGCAGATTCTGGACACACTCTGGATGCCTGAAGGAAATGTTTGAATTCTGTTTGTATATCTGTTGATTCTCCCCCGGCTTCTCAAGCTTCTGAAATCCAAACAGAACCCAGCTTCAAAAGTGGTGCTGACTATGAGCGCTCTCTCTCCTCCACTTGTGAAACAGGGAGATTTGGCTAACGAAGATCTTGCAAGGAGTGCTGGAGCACTTTCCTTCTGGGAAAGTATACTCCTTGGATGATGCCTGAAGATAAATGAGGAAGATGTGGTATCCTAAAGGAAGGGAGGGAGTTGCAGATTGTCCTGGAGAGGTACAAGTCATACAACAGTGCAGAGCTATACAAGAACATTATAACCTCTTCTATGCCAGATCTCACTAGCCTATGCCTCTTAAACCACTTTTGGACTACAATTTAGGTTTTGTAAAAATTAATTTTTAAAACTATAATTGGAGATAATTTCATCTCAGATGGGGAAACAGACAGAGAGGTGAAGGGACTTGCCCAAAGTCACACAAATCTGGCAGAGCTGGGACTAGAACCCATTAGATCTGTGTACCAGTCTCCTATTTTAACCACTAGACAACTCTCCTTCCCTCATACAAACAGAATTATTTTCAAGACACTTTTAAAAAGTTTCATTGAAAATGGGGAATTTTTAAATATTACTCATTCCCTTGAACTGTCAAAAACTACAAACCAACAGCCATCAGATGCTGGTGCCTGAGAACCAGACAGCGAGGCTAACTAAACACAGAGCAAAAATAATCTAGTCTAGTTTCACTTTCTAACAGGAATGGACTACAAATGGGAAACAAATGGTCTGTTAAAGAGAATAGGAGTTTCCAATGGGTTCTATTTTAAGAATCCTGTCACAGGAAAAACACTGAAGGGAACTGTATTTTAATATTCACTTACCGAATCAGATTTATTGGGACACTGCAAGTAACAAGTCCAGCACACATAGGCAGGACTGAACATCCTGTTAAAACCTCGGGTCAGAACAACGAAACACACACTTAATACTAAGATAAAGCTATAGCACCATCTACTCATGGGGGTGCTCTCTACACTAAACATTATAGTACAGGGATCGGCAACGTTTGGCACGCGGCCCATCAGGGAAATCCGCTGGCAGGCCGGGACGGATTGTTTACCTGCAGTGTCCGTAGGTTTGGCCAATTGCAGCTCCCACTGGCTGCGTTCCAGGCCAATGGGAGCTGCGGGAAGTGGCGCAGGCCAAGGGATGTGCTGGCCGCCACTTCCCACAGCCCCCATTGGCCTGGAACAGCAAACCGCTACCAGTGGGAGCTGCGATCGGCCGAACCTGTGGACGTTGCAGGTAAACAAACCATCCCAGCCCACCAACGGATTTCTCTGACGGGCCGCATGCCAAAGGTTGCTGATTCCTGTTATAATATTTAAAAATACAGGGTCAAGTCCAATGCTACATCACTCCAGTTTGACACATGTGTAACTCCATGGTTTCAATGAAGCCATGCTGAGGTAAAACTGAAGTAGCATAGGGGTGAATCAGACTCTTGATTTTTATTTTGACATGGTGCTTTTAACAATAAAGCAATTGAATTCAACAGGGCAAGATGACCTGTGGCCTTTTACCAGTGTTATTATATGGTACATAAAGGGTTAAATGAATGATGTTATGCATGTGTGTGGTTTACTCACACAAAAAGGTAGCTGCCCAGGTAGGCAAGTGTTTGTGGCCATTGATTAGGGGGCATGTTCATTAAGATGATACTTCTGCTAATATTCAGTGCATATAGATTTTAGAGATGGGTCCAGCCTCCCAGGAATGCATTCCTCTGGACTCTGGGGAAGTTCACACCCAGCTCCAAACTTCATAGATTGGGCCCATCCCTAATCATAGAAATGCAAGACTGGAAGGGACTTCAAGCTATCACCTCTTGCAGCCCCCTGCACTGAAGTGAGACCAAGGACACCTAGACCAGCCCTGACAGGTGTTTATCCAACTGTTCTGAAAAAACCTCCAATGATGAAGATTCCACAATCTCCCTTGGAAGCCTATTCCAGACCTTAACTACCCTTATAGTTAGAAAGATTTTCCTAATATCTAATCTAAATCGCTCTTGCTGCAGATTAAACACATGATTTCTTGCCCTACTTTCAGTAGACATGGAGAGCAATATAACACCATCCTCTTTATAACAGCTCTTAACATATTTGAAGACTGTTTTTAGGTCTCCCCTCAGTCTTTTTTCAAGACTAATTATGCCCAGGTTTTTTAACCTTCCCTCAGAGATCAGATTTATCATTTTTGTTGCTTTCCTCTGGACTCTCCAATTTGTCTGCATCTTTCTTAAAGTGTCATGCCCAGAACTGGACACAGTACTCCACCTGAGGCCTCACCAGTGCTGAATAGAGCAAGACAATTCCCTCTTGTGTCTTACATACAACATTCCTGTTAATACACCCCAGAATGATACTGGCCTTTTTTGCAACTGCAGCACAGTTGACTCATTCAATTTGTGATCCACTATAACCCCCAGATCTTTTTCAGAAGTACTACTCCCCAATTATTCAGCCAGTTATTCCCCATTCTGTAGCTATGCATTTGATTTTTCCTTCTTACTTTGCACCTGTCTTTACTGAATTTCACCTTGTTGATTTCAGACTATTTTCCAAACATCATTTTGAATTCAAAATCCTGTCCCCAAAATTTCTAGCAACCATTCCCAGTTTGATGTCAACTGCAAATTATATAAGCATATTCTCCACGCCATTATCCAAATCATTAATGAAAATACTAAATCAAACCAGACGTAGGCCAGACCCCATGGGATCTCACTAGATATAGTTTGACAGCAAACCATAACGACTCTGACTATGATCTTACAGGTCAATTGTGTGTGCGTGCACGAGTGCACAGTAGGTGTGTACTGTAATGTAAAGTCTCACCCTGTAGCCAACATCTTCTGTGACAACTGCTGTGTTGACAGTGCAGCCTGCCTGCCACAAGGTTTCCTTGATGCTGCAGCCATAGAGGAACACGTTCTTCTTCTGGGAGTGGCCGTGATAGTCGCAGAATACCTGGAGATCAGAAAAAGGAACAACACTGACCATAAAACAGGAAGGATTCTAGCCCTTCCAATGGCAATGTGTGACAGTAGTGAGTTGACCAGTTGCTAAAGAACCACCCTTTCTTTAGAGCTCCTCAGAGGCTCTTGGGCTATGGGGCATGCCCATAATGAACACCATATGCTGTTGATCAATTGTGATCAGCCTTCCTAGGCTCTGCCAGTCCACCTGATTCTGGAGGTTCAGAGAAGAGAGGGAGGTTATGTTGTTTTGTTTGAAACACAAGGAACTGTGTCCCATCACTGTAATGATTCCATGGCAGCTCAGGATCATACGTGCATCTTATGATGCAATCAAAGGGCAGTTTGTCAAATTCCTTCTACTTCTAAACTTCAGCATTATCCTCTGGAGGTCTAAAACCTGCACCTTACCAGGCAATTAATCTTGGTTTCTCTAAGTTCAAAGTCTTTACTATGTAATCTGCAGAAAAATACAACCATGCTATTACACTAGTAGTTATTGCATATTGTTAGGACATTGTACATATCCCTATAAACCAAAGCACAGTAAGTGACCTATTTTACATAGTCTAATCAATCAATCTCTTTAGCATCAGTCTTCAGGTAGCTAGGCGCTCAGCATATTCCCACTTTCCGTGGAATTTTAGATGGTCTTTATAAGCACATATCAAGTCTTCTACAAATGAAAATCAGGATTTATTGACCTACGAGGTAAATACTGACCCAGGCCCGGAGAATCAATCATGATGCTCAGTGAGATATGCATTGCTGTTATATATATTCTCCATGTCTTCATCAGAAATACTGGAAAATCCAATAAGGAAAGGAATTTCAAAAGAAGAGCAATTGTTCTTTTTAAGCCATCATTCAAAATGGTCAGAAGAAGATAGTGCTCCAGCAAAGTTTTATTCACTTTTGATAAGCCAATTGGAAAGCAAAGAGGAGCATCCAGATACCACTAAAAGAGAAACTTCAGACTAGACAGGCAGTCAGACAGAAGAAGGAAGATGGAGGAAGAAATAAGCAGTGGGTGCAATCACAGTGGGTGACGTTTTGCCAGTGACTTCAAAGGTCCAAGATTTCACCCAGTATATTTATCTGCCTGATCATTTATTTACCTTTGGCCCGTTAAAGACAATTAAGTTTTACTGAATTTAACTGCAGCCATTCAGGATGCAATTATTTGCACACTAGGTTTGTCAGCGATGCCAGCCAGTCCAGCTTCGACTGCCCACGTCTGCTTCTCTCATCACCACCTCCGCACTTCCTCCCATGAATGAAAAACCACACATCAAACTTCATAAACTCACCACCTTATCCTCTTTCAATCTCTCCTTAACAGCAAGTTCTGCAACAAAGCTTACAGATTGCTACCTCGGGCACTGATTAGTTAAGCAGCAAACTGCAACTTCTGATTTTCAGGTAAACTATTTTACTGTAACCTAACCCTCACCAACATCCAATTGCTGGCTCCTGTTTAACACCTAGATTGTAAGCTCTCTGGGGCACAGACTGTCTTGTTACATGTCTGTACAGCACCTAGCTTAATAGGACCCCCATCCTTGATTAGGATTGCTTGGCTCTACTGGAATGAATTATTACTACTGTAATTAGTTGGTTCTGTTTCATAACCATGTCTGTCTGAGGGGCAGGGGGGTGGATTTTTCCAATGCAAGTTCCCAGAGAAGACAAGCCCTAAGAAAGTTGGCATGTCCTGGACATGCCAATCTAGGAGCATATTCTCAGATCCATAATGAAACAGCAGTACTGCTGACACCTGGTGCACACAGGTGCAATAGCAGGGAATTAAGTGAGAGAAGCATTTCCCCAGTTTATAATGCAGATCATGCATGGAACACCCGAGCACACTACTATCAGGGTGGAAGTAGTTGTGCACCTGCTGTTATGTCTCATCACAGGTATGTTTTCAGCCAGTGAGGAGCCAGGATTTAACAGTATGGCAAACGAAGACACAATGTTAACGTCTATCCTCACTAGAGTTTTATGCAGCTGTCCCTGCTATGTCAACCAGGCCACCGAACCCATGTCACCCTCAGCCAGACCTCCAACATTGTTCCTCCTTCCAGTGTCCAGCACTAGACGACTTTGTTACTATTTCTCATAAAGTGGTGTCCAGGGGACCCAGCCATTACTCAACTCCATTGTGCTAAACTATAGGGAGACATGGAACTACTCACATGTTTAAGGGCTTTGCTGCATCAGAGCCAGAGTATTCAGCGCCTCGCAGGATTGAGCCCTATGGCAACATGCAGCCTACAAAGGGCAGGCAATGAGGATACAAAGAAAGCATGAACAATTTTTATACACAGTATGACTGAGATTTTCAAAGGAGACTAGTTCAGTAGGACTTGGGGTCCTAATTCTCATAGGCCCCTGAATGGGGGTCCTCCCCCTAGCAGTCTGGTACAGCACTTGCTATTCCATCTCTGCCTCAGTTTCTGAGAGTGAGGATTTTAATAAGTCCAATGAGTCTTGTATATTGAACAGCATCCCTTCAGGGGTTTAGTTTATTCAACTCCAAAGGCAGAACATCACACAAAGAGTCTGTATCTCTCTGTAGCTGGAGGGAGAAGCGGCTGAGTCAGCCTTAGTGTGTCAACCTCAGTTATGCCCAAGGTCCCTTACCAGTGAGGACTTCATGAGCCAGGACACTTCTCTGGAGCCAGGGACTTATTGTGACTAGCTGGGGAAGGGTCTCTCCTTTCGGGCCAAAGTACCCACAGAGAACAAACCATGACAATCCTTCCTCAGGACAGCATAGCATTCCTTTTTTTCCTAGGGCTTCCGCTGTTGCTTGGTGAATTCTTTCATGGGAGCCAGGTTTCTCTGAGACTCAGCATTCATGGTCCCTGCCTTCTGGAAATGCTCCTACCCAGGAGCATTCTTCCTTGGTTTCCTTTGCTGGTGAACCCCCTCACCACCTTCCCCATGAGAAGCCTTTACCATAGGAAACCTCTCTTCTTACATCTTGGGAACTATTCTCTCCCCCAGGAGTCTCTGTTCCCCTAGCTAGACACCCCAGGAGCAGCTTCCTTTTATCTTGGCCAGGTGCTTCCCTCCCTAATTAACTGCCTCTCAGTAACTCAATGAGTTAACCAATCCCAGGTGAACCTGAAATTGCCCCATTCTCCCTTGTGAAGCCTGTCAGAGGTAGGCCCCTGACCCCTTCAAAGGGCCAGCTATCCTCTGACAGCCCCTTAAAGTAGCCCAGCCTTGCACACATTGGGAGTGGTGCGTTAATATGTAAATATGCATGAACCACACACAGCTGCCCTCAACCAGCCCCTAATTATCTGGCTAATTAAATGTAGCGTCCCAAGTAACAACTTACACGGGTGGTCTGTTATCCAAAGCTCGCCCATGTCCTGTCCATTCCCTGATTCTGCCACCTGCAGAACTCCACCGCTTGCACCTACGCTTGCCTGTCCCCAGAGTGTTGTGCTCGCATTCCTGACACATGGAGATCAGCTTGCTTCCCAGCAGTGAGTCCACTGCATTATTTACACCATTCTCACTAGATGATGAAGGCAAGGGGAGGACTGTAACTGCTGTGAAATAGGATGCCGATCCACAAACAGCAGCGTTTCCAATTAAACAAACCCAGTTTTGCACAGACCCTGGACATGCAGCCCGCTCAGGTTGCGCACATATTTTGCAGAGCTATATGTAACCCATACACTGTGAAGTAACTCCATCTGCGATGTTTTCAATTACCCTAAAATGGCCCCATCCAAATGGCTGCATTTACTACTTCCTTTAATAACAGAGAGACACTTTTCCAGCTAGTGTTTCATCTAAGCTATCAGCAACATCCAGCCATAGTTTAGGTTAACCACAGGTACTACATGGAATTTATTCCTATGAATATCAAAGAGGATTTTATAGTTTCCATCCTATTTTGAAGCAGAACTCCAAGCTCAATTGGATATCAATTACCTGCCAATTTCACATATTACTAACATGCAAAAGGCACATACATTATCTTCTCATAATATTATTTTACATATTAGAAAGCACTAAGGGATATTCAGCTAGTCAGACAACAACATTGCTGAGCGGTGATAGCCCTATCATTCTGCATTTAGAGAATCCCACAGATGAATCCTAACTGGTAGGACTGAAATGGGCCTGCTAGGTGATCCATTCCTGCCCACCTGCATCAATGCAAGACTATCATCTACACTAATTGCTGTGGGACTGTCTGCAGTAACTGCCCACAGAGCCTTATCCCCTTTAGTTTCCATTAGCTTCCAACGGCAGCAGGGTCAGTACCACTGTAGCTATTTATGAGCAGTTCCATTTGAAAGTTGTACAGAAGGCATTGAAAACTTGTTTTCATTTTGATTAAACTCACTTCATTGTGTGATTTCCATGGGTATTTTTTTCCGCCCAGGTTCCTGTGACTTTACAACACTTCCCTATCACCCCCTGACAGTCCGACCTTTTCTATCACAGGGGTCTCTTTCATGGTTCAGCCAAGAAAGAAGCCAGGTGCTGTACTCTGTAGCCTGATAGCAGAGCTCTAACTGAGGCATCTAAGAGCGGACAGAGAATGACCATGGGAGTAAGAGGCAACCAGCCTCTTCTCTAGCCAGGACAGTATAACTCATGCAGCACAGTCAGACTCCAAGACGTGCCACCCTTCTCACCCCTCAAGAAATTATCCAAGTCCAAGGTAAGAATTGGCAGTATACTCACTTTTGCCAACTCTCACACTTTTATCACAAGTCTCACTGTATTTTTATTACAACCCTGGCTGCCAGAGTCAATTTATTCCCTGCGACTCTCAGCTTTCATTAAAAAAAGAAAGAGAAAGAGAGAGAAAAATAAAAGTTTCTAGCCCTCGTGGCCCCAGAGAAAATCTTGAAAATGTGACACCAGAAGGCAAATAAAAAGACAATCACTAAATATTATCATGGTTGCGGGGGCTAGACTCATTGCACTTGGGGTGGCAATACTGCATTTCAATCAATTTCAAGCAGTGCCCAGTGGCTTCTAAGAATGATAAAGGCTCAGATTGTGGCTTTAGGACATTTGGTGGTAGGAGCCATGAAGCAGCAGGGCTAGAGGGTGAGGGAAGAGTTATGTCTTACTCATCTGTAATTTCTTCCGGGGCTCAGAAGGGAGCCAAAGCACTGCAGTATCTCTGCCTCCCGCCGACCCTTTCTCATGGCCCCACCTTCATCCCAGCACACCCACCCTGGGCACTCTCCCATTCAGGTCTCTGGCAGTAGACTCATAGGGAGAGTCAGCTGACAGCACAGGACAGCTGGTCAGAACACAGAAACCAAGTTTCACAACAGTTACACAGATGGCTTTTTTCAAAAGGGGCCGATTCTTTGCTGTTCTTCAAAATTTTCCACAGGATTTTTTTTTTTTTTTTACAATTTTTTTGTAAATATTTTCAAAGATCGGCATTTTCAAAAGTGAATTTTTTTCTATCTCCCAAATTTTGGTTTTGATGTTGAAATCCCCCTGCCTTGAGATTAGAGGACCAATGAAAATTGTCAATGTTTAAAACAAAATTAAGGAAAATTAAAACCAGAAATGTTAAATAAGCAATTGTGTCAAAAATGAAAAATATTGAGAAAATTAAAGAGAGACAAGGTGAGTGAGGTAATAGCTTTTATTGAACTCACTTCTGTTGGGGGAAGGGACAAGCTTTTGAATGCACAGAGCATTTCTTCAGGTCTGGGGAAGGTAACCAGAGTGTCTGAGCTAAATACAAGTTGGGACAGATTGTTAGGCATAAGGGGTTCAGATATGCTGTAGGAGAGCACTTAAAATAAAGTGGGCTACTGAGGGTTTGCAGGCAGCAGAGGGTTTACGTTAGAGGCTAACGTGAGGAGTCAGGGCCCTGTCCTAGTGGGAGCCCATCAGACCTTGTGATAACTGTATAGCTGAAGGGGCTGGTTTAGTAGTGTGAGCCCCAGGAATTCAATACCTAGATTTTTTGGTTGAACACCCTCTTGGGTTGATTCAATCCTAAATCAAATTAGTAAGGGGTCATTCACATGAGACTTAAATGCCAACGTCCTATCCCCACTGCATGGACATTAAAATCCAGAGGGACTTTTCCTTAGAGATGGCATTTGCCTTGGCTTCCTTGTTACAGATTTGTTCTTCCATCTGTTTGCCAATCTCCTCCTGAGAAGGGGTTGCATTCCAGTGGGACTTGTGTGTTTATAGGTTCTAAAGTGCTTTGAGATCCTTTCGGTTTGAAGGTTCTAATCACTTAAAATACAAAATAGTGTAGTAAATTCATGCCCAGTTTGGATGCCACAGCTGTCTGTATGCTGAACACAAGGGGCCACTTGAACTTCACAGTGACAGAATGGACACAATGTGGATCCTGTTGCTTCAAAACCACAGGGCCATGCCACTGAGCTAACGTAAAGCCTCCCATTGCTGTTAGCAATAGATGGCTTTTGACACACAGCTGTGTTATTCTAATTCCATACAGTAGAGGGCAGAGAAGACACACACCAGGTTGCTCTTTGTTCTAGTGAGATTCTCCTAGCTGAAGATGGAAGAGAAAGTCACAGTTAGCATACCGTTTTCTACCGGAAAAGCAGTTGGCCTGATCTGAAAGACTATTAGCTTTAAAGCTCTGTCCCTTTCTCCTTCAAGATGTCATGCCCTGCTTTGAAGAAACTGTTCACACATCACCAGCATAAATGGGACCAAATCACTTCATAGAAAAACCATTTGGCTATCAACTAACTTGGCTCCATAGCTTACTTTCAGAGTAGGGAAAGGTATTTTTGAATGTGTGTAAACTTAAATCAATGTGCTCTTTAAATTCAGAGAAAAATCCGTTTCTCGTGTACTTCAGGCTGAGAGCAAGAGAGAAGATGGAATCAATAGCTTCTCCTAAACTCAAGAATACTGACAACTTGCAATGTGTATGGGCCCAATCTCAGGACCTAGATACCACATTGATAAGCACAGGATAAAGACACAGATTAGAGAGAAGAAGAAAGGATAGATAGATAAAATATATTTGAATAAGAGGGAATGAGAATGAGAAAGTAGCTTAGATTAGATTAAGAGAGCCCATTGAAGCACCACACCACTGAAAATGATTGCGAGCTAACTCAAAAGTAAGCTTCTGGGGGCTGGGTGTCCTTCAACTCTCCCAGGTGTCAATGTCTCCAGCAGCGGAGCTCCAGCATTCTGGCCTATGACGGAAACCCCCCAGTTGCAGGGAGTTTCACTGTCAGGACAGCTGCAGACTTTTTTCATCTCTGCCTGCTGTTAGACTGTTAGCCTCCTCCATTGGACTCCGCTCATGACGCACAAGGGGAATCTTCCACCCCTGTGACTCGCCCTGCCCATCAGGTTGTTTCTCCCTATCCCTCGGGCTCTTGCAGCCTGAAGATCCGTCTTGAATTTGCATTAGATCCGTTTGGTGGTATTCAAACCACTTTGCACTTTTTCCTCAAGGTCTTGGACCCTTCTCCATATTCTCCTGGTCAGCGACCCTGGGCAGAGTGAAAACTTATCCCAGCCCCGTAGAGGACCAGGAATCCTTTTGGGCTGCAGCGGTCTCATGAGTTTTTGCCACCTGCAGAGAAGGAATTTTTTTCCCCCACAAAAGTAAAAAACACAAATTTTCACCAAAATGGCTTGACTGACAAATGTGCAGAAAAGGAATTCCACAGTGCAAAATAATTAGACTATTCCCAGAGGCCAAGGGACCCATCAATTGGATTTGAGTCGCTGGTGACTGGAGTATTAAGCTTTAAAAAAATCAGTGCAAAATCCTTACGTATGAACTAGCTTGAGTACCTGAACCACAGGAGAGGAGGAACCAGAGACTGGAGCTGGGCAATATTTTTTGGACTAACATTTTTTTCTTTTTTTTTTTTCAGATTCAGGTCGACCAAAACACTTAGTGCATTCAGGTCAAAATCACCAAACTTCTTCAGTTAAAACTGAAAAGAAATCTGAAATAATAGAAACGTGTTGACATTTTCTAAGCAAAATGTTCAGATTTTTCAGTGTGAAACACCTTTTTGTTTCAAATTTTACTGCATTTTAAAAATAAAAGGTTAAAAACCTGAAACATTTTGTTCGACGCACAATAAAAAAATTCCGGTTCAGCCACTGAACTGACAAAATCAATCGTTAGTGTATCTCTACCAGGGGCTTTCGAAAATCAGGCACTTACACTCAGGCCTGGCATTCCTTGTCATGCCAAAATGCACATGCCGTTACCATGATTGTATATGCAAATGCCCAGTTAGAGGATTAACCAGGGATACACATGTGCAGTGCAATTGCGGGGACTGTGTGTCTCCAGCTTGAAAAGTCAGGAACTATTCTCCTCCATAAAGTCAACACAAGAGTTTCTCCACTCATCTGCATAGCTCTTATTAGAGACGAGGCTTGGAAAGAGCTGCTTAAGTCTCTGCTTAACGGATGAGTTTTGAGCTTTCCAGAGACCCAAAGCTACTGGCTAGCTGCTAACTATGAAACATCCTGCTCCCATTGAATTGAATGGCAAAAATGATCATTGAGTTCAGTGGGAACAGGATGAGCTGTTTGGCCCTGATTCAGCAAAGCAATGAAACCAACGGGACTTAAGCTTGTGCATAAAATTACGCACATGATAAAATGACGTGTTGAAACAGGGACTAAATCAGATGAGGTATGTAAAAGATGACAGTGTGGCCGATGACACTGAATATCCTATATCAGACTAGGCAGGTGGAAGATGACGTAATGGCCCATTCCATGACTTTGTTACTCTGTGAGCAACATTTAGTATTCAGCTGTTCCTCAGCTGCCTTTCAGATGGTCCCAGCTGGAAACCGGAGCACGCTGCCATGCTTATGGCTAATTAATGTTTATTTATATTTTTAAACAAGCATTCCACTTGTCATGTTCACATAAATCTTTTCCTTTCCCACTAGGGGCTGTTGGAGCACGAGCCGAAATACTTTGTTTACTCATCACAAGCCTAGTCTGAGTGCTGGTCTGGTGGAGGTTTCTCCACTCTTTGCTGACATTCATGCTGAGGGCTTTGAGCCAAAGGGGAGAAGAGGAGACTCCCTTCCCATGACAGAGAAGCACAGAAGTTATTCCCTTTTCGAGCTGGTTACTGTGCTGCCATCCATGTTCAAGTTGCTCTGATGTGGGCTGGAGATCTCAAGGAGAGACCAAACTGAGCTCAGCCCTATTGCACTGGATCCTGCAATGACATCTTTGCAAACTCTCTCCCCTCTCCACCAGGAATGGTCTGAAGAAAACACTAATGATGGATAATACTTCACACTGATCTAGCACTTTTCATCCGAAGACTCAAAGAGCTTTATGAAAGGTGGACATTGTAATCCCCATTTTACAAAGGAGAATACTTTGCCCAGAGAGACGAGGTTATTTGCCCAACATCACTCAGGGAGCCAGTGGCATGCTGAGAAATCAGATCAAGATCTCCTGATTCCCTGTCCTCTGCTTTAAATGCTGCACTAAGTTGCCTGCCTGCACAGCAAACTTTGCAGGAACCCTCTAAAATACTTAGGGGATCCCAAGTAGATAAAAATTGGCATCCTCTCATCAGGCAATTTATTACTTCAGTGCTCTGCTTTCCCAGATAGCATGGATTTTGGGGACAGAACTTCCCGAAACTACATCTCAACTTCAGCTCTCCCAACCTTAAACTTTCCCCCCTAACCAGTGTGCTCTCCAGACTGGGCATAGGGTTGTTGGTTAGAAGGGCTGATAGGCAATAAAATATCCCCTGAAGTGAAGGTCTCCAAGCTCTTCCCCATTTCCAGAGTAATGTAGCACTGGAATGTTTCCAGATCTCCCCAGACCCCTTCTCTCTTAGACCTGAACTATACAGAACAGGAGTCTTTGGGGAAGGTTGCAACAAATGAGCAGTGCAGGGGTATTAATAAAAGGGAAGACGGAAATGACTCACCAGCGGAGCCCGGCCAACGCTGCACAGGTAGTAGAGGAGGCCCTTGGTGTGGTAAATGGTTGGATGGAGCTGGCAGCTGGGAGCCAGCCACTGTCTATTCAGGTCGTCCCCACTCAAGGAGCACCGGTGGCTGGAATCACAGAACAAAACACACCCCAATTAAACTAACAAAACAACTCAGTGGTTTCAAAATGTCTGCTGTTTCTGGATAGTCCCTATACTAGGGCAGGCTTGGCTTGTGATGCTAATTCATAGATATATATCTAGATTTCAGAGATGGGCTTGAACGAACTAAAACTCCACAGAAGCTTATTTTAGAGGATTCTGCAAAGAATAAATTATCTATTTCATTTCCCTGCAGGGCCTGCTCAGTTAGATTCTAGGTAATTAATGCAGTTTTGATTTACACATGCACTCATATTAAACAGGACTAATACTCTGTTTTTAAACTCTCTAAAACATTGCTAAAGTCTGATGTGAAATACAGAATCCATCATGGTCTATGGAGGTATAAAGGGTGGGTTTTCCATAGCCAACCTGGGGCATAGGAATGCCCAATCATCAGTCATTATCATTGGAACTGGAAAATCAGTCAGGCCCTATTGAAAATCTATAGGCACCTGCATGGGATGAGCAAAATATCTCATGCATGGTTTCTCCACTCATGAGAAATGCAACCATCTCAAACACATATCAAGAACCAATAAGATCTTTATGCTATACATCACTGTTATAAAAAACAATTGGCTATAGTGGGAATTTGACCTCACTGTAAGGGCTGAGTAAAACCTAAGTAAGGACTTCATGGTTTGGACCAAAGAGACTTTTACCTTAGCTCAGTCAAACTTTCCTCTCTGGTTCTGTTTCACTGGCTAATAAATTGTGCTAGATGTTTAATTGCATGGAGGGGAATTTGCATATTTTAGTACAATTATGCAGATCTGAGTGATCTCCTTTATAATGACTTTGTTTTAGTTCCAAGCATCCTCACTCTACACAAAGGCTTCACTCTAACTGAGATTGCAATTCTCAAATTGTGATGCATTGATAAAGTTTAGGCCCTCCATTAGATCTGGATTCATGATAAGACCTATCATATTCAAATCAACTGCATCTACTGTAGAAGACATACTGTTAGCTTAGTAAACGAGAGCTGGAGTGTGCTTGAAGGTATGTATTCTAAACATCACATGGAATTTCAGCCACACAACTCCGTCTGACTTTAACAGGAGATACCATGTTCCACCATTTCTCCCACTACACCGAATGTTCCAGCCCTCTAACAACACAGCATGCAGAAACACACTACCGTCATGTGTGTATCAATGAGATTTCAAAATTCACAGGCAAGACTTTAACCAGTTAGGCTGCGTTGCACACACCTTCAGCCCCATCAGTGCTTCATAGAAAATGTTTGGAGGGAAGAGACTCCAAAGTCTATTCAGAGCCTTTGGAGAAGAGCCAAAGCAATGGGAGTCTGACAGGAGGAAAAGGGGAATAGAAATAGTAGAATCCACAGAGCGTGTTATATTTTATACACACACACGCACACACACACACATATATATGTATATATACACACAATGTAGAAAAACAAGGCTCTGATGCCATCTTGGGGTTTCTGGTGACATCACAACATCCATTCCAGTTTTGCTGTTGTCACCTGAATTCCCCTTTCCCTTTAATTCACAGTTCCCTTGCTACTCATTCTGCAATTTGTAAAACATTTGCAATAGCTAACACCCTGGAAGCCAGAATTTGCTGGTGTGATAACTGCTGCTGAAAGACTTCTAGCTCAAAACTTGGCAATCCAGTATAATGTTTATTAGTGGCCCTTCACATAAAGTTAACCCAAGCCTCACCCCTCCTCATTTTTTTGACAGTGGCAACTCTGCTAAGAGTAACAACCATATTTGCCCCCTGGGTGTTTAATGTATTGCTAGCAGGCTACCTCTGAAGAGTGATATCACCGTACAAAAGTCACCAGTTGCACTGGGTGGCACTCACTCCATTTGCAGGTGACCATGAAGAAATAAGATCCAGATTCTTCCTTGAGTGGCATGTCCTCCCATGGACCATACAAAGAAAATAACAGAATGCCACTAGCCATCACCTTCAGCCCCCCCAACTAAAACCTCTCCAACGCATCATCAAGGATCTACAACCTATCCTGAAGGATGACCCATCACTCTCACAGATCTTGGGAGACAGCCCAGTCCTTGCTTACAGACAGCCCCCCAACCTGAAGCAAATACTCACTAGCAACCACACACCACACTACAGAACCACTAACCCAGGAACCTATCCTTGCAACAAAGCCATTGCTAACTGTGTCCACATATCTATTCAGGGGACACCATCATAGGGCCTAATCACATCAGCCACACTATCAGAGGTTCGTTCACCTGCACATCCACCAATGTGATATATGCCATCATGTGCCAGCAATGCCCCTCTGCCATGTACATTGGCCAAACTTGACAGTCTCTATGTAAAAGAATAAATGGACACAAATCAGATGTCAAGAATTATAACATTCAAAAACCAGTAGGAGAACACTTCAATCTCTTTGGTCACTCGATTACAGACCTAAAAGTTGCAATTCTTCAACAAAAAAACTTCAAAAACAGACTCCAGCAAGAGACTGCTGAATTGGAATTAATTTGCAAACTGGATACAATTAACTTAGGCTTGAATAAAGACTGGGAGTGGATGGGTCATTACACAAAGTAAAACTATTCCCACCCCCCTATCCCCCCCCCTGCTGTTCCTCAGACGTTCTTGTCAACTGCTGGAAATGGCCCACCTTGATTATCACTACAAAAGGTTCCCCCCGCCCCCTGCTCTCCTGCTGGTAATAGCTCACCTTACCTGATCACTCTCCTTACAGTGTGTATGGTAACACCCATTGTTTCATGTTCTCTGTGTATATAAATCTCCCCATTGTATTTTGCACTGAATGCATCCGATGAAGTGAGCTGTAGCTCACGAAAGCTTATGCTCAAATAAACTTATGAGTCTCTAAGGTGCCACAAGTCCTCCTTTTCTTTTTGCGGATACAGACTAACACGGCTGCTACTCTGAATTAAGTCAATGAGTAGAACTGATTAAAAAAAATAGAATTTCCATCCCATTGGAAACAGCAATATTTTTGACATTTATTTTTATTCCAAATCAACATGAAAATCAAAATATCAATTCTTTTCACAGAATAAACATTTCCAAAAGAAATTGAATTTAAAAATATTGAAATATATGGTTTCGAAATTTTCAGGCTAAGCAAAATGTTTCAGTTTCTCCAAAGAGAAACCTTTCATTTCAGGTTGTGTCAACAATAATCTGTGTTTGCCTGAGCTGCCATGGTCTCTTCCTCTAGCCAAGCCACCATGGTGTGTGAAGGGAGTCCCATGACCACAGTGCATCATGGGAGATGAAGTCCAACCAGGGCAGCCCAGCTCATAAAGAACAAGGGGAGCATGATACAATTGAACTACTACTTCCAGGAGGCACAGAAGCGGCTCAAGCAGATGCAGAGATTAATGTCAAACCACCTCTACACTAATTTTGTTTCAATTTTTCTGTCGGAAAACATTCTGCAAAATTGACATTTTTCTTACAGAATATTTCAATTAAATGGAAATCACATTTTCTATTGAAAAAAAAAAAACATTTCTATGAAAAACTCCCAACCACTTCTATCAATGGGAGTGGCTCGCCAAATCCAAGGAGAGAATGTAACACAAAACCACAGAATTTAGTAGCTCTTGCCATGGAGTCTGGTCCCATTGTGCCTCAGAGTACACAGGGCCTTGCTTTGGGCTTTTGGGCCTTTGGGTTGCTGCAAAACTTTAATTAAATTATGAAACGTTGATTCTTTTTTTCCATTAAAGCCCGTTTACTTCAGTGACTGCTTCATGCCATCTCTCTTCCCTATTTTCTTCCTTTCTTCTCTCCCACTCCTACTACCGATGACATTTGCAGATAAGGGCTTTGTCCCTTATGCTAGGCAGCCAAGGGTGAAGGTAAAATATTAAGCTGATCTCAAGTACTGATAACAAATAAAAGGAGCTTAAGCTGTTTGATTGGGTGGAGCAGACTTTGTATATTTCAGTGCAAATATGCAGCTCTGAGCTAACCCTCCTGCAGTGAATTCATTTTAGTTCAGAACATCCTTACATCCTTGCGAAGGTTTCACTCTCACCAAGATTGCAACTCACAAATTGTGTTGCACTGATACAAGTCAGGGCTTTTCTTAGATCCGAGCTCAGGATTATCTGAGCTCACCATATTTACATCCCTCCTGGTGAATGCTTATTGTTATCTCATTAAATTTAGTACAACTGCTTTAAAAAAAAAATCCAGAAGCCCTTGTTCAGTACAATTGTTCTCAATGGATAGTGTGCGTCTCCCTGGTAGTTAGTAACAAAGTGATGGTTATGCCATGAGTGTGTAAAACAACACATGGCCAACCAATAAGGGCCTGTGCATGGGGACAGGAGTGGGAAAGTGGAATTCAGTCTCCTCTTTTCAATCATTACCATCTTTGCTCTTTTAATCCATCTTTAAATATTAGCACTATTGCCTGTCAGTCCATATTCACTGCCTTTGGGTTGCTGCAAAACTTTAATTAAATTATGAAACGTTGATTCTTTTTTTCCATTAAAGCCCGTTTACTTCAGTGACTGCTTCATGCCATCTCTCTTCCCTATTTTCTTCCTTTCTTCTCTCCCACTCCTACTACCGATGACATTTGCAGATAAGGGCTTTGTCCCTTATGCTAGGCAGCCAAGGGTGAAGGTAAAATATTAAGCTGATCTCAAGTACTGATAACAAATAAAAGGAGTGGGAAGCCAAGACTGGCTTTTGTGTGTTTGCCAGGATTCAATGAAATTCACTTCTCAGATCAAAGGTGTTCATTACCTTGCATCTCCACGCTACTAGATTTGCTGTAAATGCTTTGTGTCTTCTTTCCTTAGCAAGAGTCCTTGCCACCTTAGCTAGGACTATCTGGAACTCAACGGAAACAATGAAAGATTTGCCTCTGAAAAATTTCCAACATAAAAAAAAAAGTCTGCTCTATGTGTCTTTGTACAGGTTAGCTGTAATTCAGCTATTTGTTAGAGTTTCAAT